TCAATAAGAGATAGAGGATTTTTCACTAATATGGGTTTTATAAAAGCGTTTTTGGTGATTTTCATCTTGTAATATCAAAAGGATTTCTCACTAGACCTCATGGTCCTCATTTTGATGTTTTAAAATTGTGCATTATAGGTCGACATAATCGAATGATAAGGGAAAATTATGAAGAATTTGTGATTGCTTACATGTGGATTTTTGGGATGATGTGATATTGTTGTACCTGGATATTTATTATATTTATAAGTCTTGTATTGGGATTATGTGGAAAATTTTGGTAGCTAATTTTGTAACGTAACTTTTGTATATATTGGGACCAAATGTGTAAATTGTATTTCATGATATATGAAATATGTGGTTATATGCAAATGTGATTATGAGGTATTACATTTTTGTATCAATTTTAGCTTATATATTTTATAGATAAAACAAATAAATGATTAACAAATAAAAAAACAATAATAAAAAATGAATGTAGACAAAAACCTAATTTCTTATTCTAAGTATATGAGTTCTTATAAGAACATGCAACTAGACAATAGCACGAAGGTTTTTATAAAACTCCAATAAGAACCTCAACAAAAATCTTCATTGTAGATTTTCTTATAATTGAATATATATATATATATATATATATATATTGGATATTTTGACTTCTGTTTTTCTACTTTGAGAAAATTATGAATATATTGTTGTAGTTGATTTAATAAACTTTTGAGGCATGATTCATGAATAAAGTGATTTTGTCATTAATACGAAAGTTAACTTAAAAAAATGTTAATTGTTTATGTGAAGATTTATTATTAATACAAAAGTTGTCAAAGCTTCACGTGAATCGTTGGTTATTTCACGTGAAGCTTTGGTTCCCATACTTTACATGAAACAAACAAAGCTTCATATTTGAGCCAAAATTTTCACAATATGTGTGAAGTTTTGGTTGTTTCTTGTGAAACTTCTATTCCCATGCTTCACATGGAACAACCAAAGTTTCACAATATGGTTCTATGTGAAGTTTTGATTGTTGCATGTGAAGATTGGGAACCTAAATTTTACATGAAAGAACAAAAGCTTCACATTATACTTTTTGTGAAGTTTTGGTTTTTTTATCATAAAGCTTCGGCTCTCCTGCTTCACATAGAATAACCAAAGCATCATATTGGAGTCGAAGTTTCTCATATAGTTTTTGTGAAGCTTTGGTTTCTAAAACTTCACATGGAAATATCAAACCTTCATATAGTTTGTGTAAATCTTTGGTTGTTTCCTATTAAACCCAGTTCATGATCTTCGTATGGAAAAACCAAAGTTTCATAGTATGGTATGTCTGAAGCTTTGATTATCACTTGTGAATCATTTCTTTCCAGGCTTCACATGGAATAACAAAGCTTCATAATACAATTTCATGTGAAGTTCTGGCTTCATAGTTTCAGAGCCAAAGCTTCACACTATAGTTCATGCGAAACTTCGGTTCTCAAGCATCATATGATAGTTTGTATGAAGTTCTGTTCTCATGCTTCACATGGATTAACCAAAGATTCAAATTGGAGTCATAGCTTCATTACATTGTTTAAGGTTTTGGTTCCCATACTTCACATTAGGAACCAAAGCCTCACAAGGAAGAAACTACAATTTCACGGTGTAGTTTGTATAAAGTTTGGGATGTTTCGTTTCCAAGCTTCACATGAAAGAACCAAAATTTAACATCAGAATCGAAGTTTCACGATATGGTATATAGGAACAACAAAAGGTGGAGTGAGCTACCAGGCACGACCCAGCGTTGGTTATAGGCCATGGGGCGACGACCCAGAGCAGCAAAGAGCCCAAGTGTCCATCCTTGTTAATTTGGTTTGTTCACATATTTCATTGGTATGCTAATTTGATTTGTTTTTTTTTTTTCACGACTTCTATTTGGTTTGCATAGTTGACAAATTTTATTTGGTTTGTTCATTTAATGTGTAAAACAATATAAAATACACAATCCAAATATAACGTAAACCAAATGACATTACTAAATAGATTAAAATTGTTTCAAAATAACTAATTCTTTATCATGAAAAATAAATACATAATAGACATAATTCGATGTGTATTGTATTAAATAAAAAAGTTAACGGTGATACTGAATAAATATTAAGACAAATTTCATTAAAATATATTTCGAAAAAATAAAATAAAAACAAAAATATTAGATTAAATAAAAATAAAGTATTAAATTAAATTAATTAGGTTATATTTGGGTTAAAATGTATATTTGGGCTTATGAAAATATAACATTTCATTCCATCAAAATCCCAACTTATTGTGAATGAATGTTGAAGTCTCTTGTCTGTGGAATTCTGTGGATTTTAAAGATTCATTCTTTCAAAAAGTGAACCGAACGAGGAAATGAAATTTCAAATTGAGAATGTATATTATTTGTCTTCAAATTCGGTTTTTTCGTGAAAACCAATTTCAAAGCTACACGCAAATGACAAATGAAAATATGTACATTCCATAAAACAATGCTTATTAAAATCTAAGGGGGAGTTTGGTTTGTAGGATTCTGATGGAATCTAAAGGAATTAGAATGATAAGTTCTTTTGTCTAAATTCTATTTAGCTGTTTGGTTTACTTGTGGAATGAAATTGAATTCCATACATTTCACCATTTATGAATTTGGCCATTCCATCATAATTGAGAAGGGATTCAATTCTATTTCATCCCAATTTCTCAAAAGGACCAAACTATTCCCATCTTCCTTACTTGATTTACCCAAACCTATATGACCTCCATCTAAACCATTGGTTTGAACCACCACGACCACCACCAATCTGAACCTCCGTTGACCACTAGTGATCTCAACCACTGCCGACCACCAGTGACCACCACCAATCTGAACCACCACTGACCTTCACTGATATGAACCACTGTCAACCATCATCGTTTTGAACTATTGCTGACCACCATTGGTCTAAACCATCGGTGATCACCACCATTCTAAATCACCGTCGACCACCACTGTTATAAAAGGGGTATTTTGGTCATTTGTCGTTCATTCATTTCAATTCCAAAGTACATTATACAACCAAGCAGACAGATTCCAAGTCGTTTAACAGATTTAATCCAATTCATTCCAACAAAACGCACAGTCAAATTTCACTCCAATTTCTTCAAAGTCAAACTCCTTTGACAGATTTTGTTCCTTCATAAAATGTTCTGCAAAACAAACCACCCCTAAGTCTACCAAATAAATGGAGGATGTAGCATTCATATATAGGTTTCGATCCCTTTTGTCATACTAGGTCAAGATTTCATCCAAAACACTCTTACAAAAAAATGTTGCAACTAATCATTGCAAATATGAGATATATTAAAGTAAAATAACATACGAACTAAAGACTTGACAGTTACACTGGCCGCACACATGAACTCCTATGTAATCATGACATATTAACTTTTATCAGTCTTATCAGATTAAGTTGATTTGTACCCTACCCTTTTTGACACAACCAATTCACTTTGTAAATTTTGGAGCCTGATTGGATTTCGATTTAATTTGAATCGAGTTCATATGCCCATATTCTGCTTGGATAATTGACCATCATGTTTTCATGCAACCCTAACCCTAATCATCACTCCTCGATATTAACCTTTTCTAGTTTGATCCCACAATTGAACTTTTCATCCGGATACAATTTCTTCATATTTCAAGCATAGAGATTTTGCAGCAATTTGCAATCACCTAAAATAAATTGTTGATCATTAATTGATGTTTCAATATTGCAAACTATGTCAATGCCTTATCTATACTATATTATAAAATATTTGACAAAAACTCTTAAAAATCATTTTGTATGCATGAAGTATTGTTTATTGATGCATATTACTTAAAATTCAAGATTACAAGTACACTGTGCGTAAGTACAACTTATTAAAGCTTCATGTTTGAATTCGTGTAACTAACTGCAGATAAACATAATCAAATGGAGGATAAATATCTCATTTTAAATATAAAAAATCTAAAATATAGTTAGGATAATCATTTACTTCTAACAAAATACTTGATCATTATCTTTATAAAAATTATATTATTAAACCAAAAATAAAAAAAATAAATTAAAGAAATACACAAAAAATGAGAAATTTTAAATAGTTAGTTTGGTGTAAATATCAATATTTTTTTTTCAATTTGTTATGATATCTTCATATTTATATTTTATTCAAAAATAAAAACATTATCGTTTTTTTCAAAACCATATAAAATCATATTATAACATCGACTGAGACAAAAAAAGAAATAAAACGAAAAATTAAAACCGAGATATATCTCGTTACATTGTGCGAATACTCTTCTAATTCCTTATAATCCAAATGACCAATTTATGATATATGTATATATATATATATATGTAGAACTCTCTTTTAAATAAAAGTGAAATAACGATTATTAAATGCCAATGGAACGTAATAAATATAAGTAAATTATCTACACACCGTATTAAAATTTTAACTTATTGGGACTGGGCTAAAATATGGGCCATGATCGCCCAATTTCATAATAATTAAGCCCAAATGTTTAGAAGGAAAGTAGAGAATACCGGTCCCCCGTTGATTAAATAAAGTCGATGACTTGTCGGTTTGTAGTAAGGTTGTATTGGTCATCGAGTGTTGTCTTGGATGATACATTGTGCTGTCATTTCCGGTTCAAATCTCCATCAAACGACCAAATTGCGTCTTGTTTATGAAGTTAAGTTTGCGCTAGATCAACCACTGCTTTTACCACAGCACATGATTTCCCAGTGTGACGCCTCAAAGTCGAATTTTTGTCCACCGTATAGAAACAATGCCACATTTTGCATTGTGTCTTTCGTTTCCCACTTCAAATAACCACCAAAATCGAATCCATCTCAAACTCCGGATTCTCATTCGTGCTAAGCGAGGACTTGAACAATGAGATCGACGACGGATGAAGCAATAATGTCGGATAATACCATTGTTGGAACACAAATATGATTCAAACGGAAACAAACAAACAAATTTCTTTCAATTCACATTATCGATACAAAAAAAGAAACCCGAAAAAAAGTTAAAATTTCAGAAATACGAGTGATTAGTCATGAAAAAACCCGGTCACAGATATACAATAAAGATATATTGCTATATACAACTTAAAACAAAAGCCGAATCCACAATCCTTTGCAACGAACCCCTCTAAACCGCGATACGCAAATCCTACCTTCAATCCGCAGAAGAACAAAATAAATGAATCTCGTCAACGTTGTAAACTCAAACTAGAACGGATTGACCGGTCAACTCGTCCTGAAGCTGCAACGATCCATCCTTCATCAAGTTAACGCTCAAGCTCTTGAATCTCTCTCTCGAGTATTGACGCGACGCCTTCCTCCAATCCGTTCCCGCTTTCATCATCGCAACAAATTCTTCGTAGCTAATTTGACCATCCTGAGAACAATGTTTGACCACCAATCAGTTAGAGATGTTACATTAGAGTTCCGGTTGTGTGATAACGAGATTCGTGTAGGCGTACCTTGTCTGTATCGACTTCTTTCATGATTTCATTGAGTACGTCGATGTCCACTTGACCAGACTCGTCTGCCAACACTTGTTCAAGCTCATCAAGCTCGATATAACCACTGCCATCTTTATCGAAGAACATAAATGCTCTGCGAAAATGCTCATCGTTCTCCATCTTCTGTAGGTGAATCGTTACCGCTACAAACTCTCCATACTCGAGTACTCCGTTCCCATCAACATCGGCCTTACGAATGAACAAAATGATAGAATTTTAGTACCGAATATTGATATTTCATGACCTTATCCATATAGTTCATGTCAGATATCAAGAATTTCATGAATTATTCAACTACTCGAGTCGTGTTTAGTGAAATTTATGAATAGCAGAGATGATTACCACATCCATGAGCAACTTGATCTCGGGTTCAGCCAACTGCGAACCGACTTTCCTTAATCCGGCCTTGAGTTCATCGAACGTAACTTTCCCATCACAATCGGAGTCCATCAAAGTAAACATATCTCGAATAACTTCTATTTCTTCGATCGACAAGTGTTCTGCAATCACCTACACCATCGGAGGAACAAATACAAGATTCAATATGGATTTGTAAATAAACAGCAAAAACAGCAGCCAAGACGACAGTACTCACCCTCAATGCTTTCTTTTTGAATCTATTCATCCCGGAGAACTGCTTCAGCCTCGTTCTCACGATATCTCCCAACGGAACATTCGAAGCTTTCTTCTCGTTCTGTATCCACGGATGTTCTACAGATCATATCAGATAAAAGTTATGTTGACTTTGACTTTGATCGTTAAATGAACCAAGTTTCAGCTCCATCTCATCTCTTTTCAACAGATTTATAGTACGAATCGCGATGAACTTCAGTTCAAGTGACGTTTTTTGGCTTTGAAACGCAAGTCACGACACATAATCACACAATGAAGGATTCCAAAACGACAACAAACTTACCGAGAACCTGTTGGGAAGTTAATCGCTTCTTGGGATCGGGCTCCAACATCTGCTTAACGAGACTCTTAGCATTTTCAGAGATTTGAGGCCACGGCTCTCTCTTGAAATCAATAACGCCACGCAGAATCGCCAAAGCGACACCTTGTTCAGTTTCTACAATCAAACAAACATAAAACAAATGATTAGCAATTTAGCATCAGACAACAGAACTCGATCAACAGATTTCGCATATATATCAATACCTGCCCAAAATGGAGGAACCCCACATAACAGTATATAGAGAATTACTCCGGCACTCCATATATCTACCTCCGGTCCATAATTTCGCTTCAAAACCTCCGGTGCCATGTAGTACGGACTACCCACGATTTCTGAAAACCTCTGCCCTGAAAATGGAGATATGAAACAAAAGGTGAAATAACCAAATCTGAAGGCAAAAGAATATCCCAAAAGCCCATGTTTTTTTTTTTGCTAGTTTTGAATCACTAAAAGATGCCCGAAAACCAAATCTGGTGCACCATGGCTCGAACCCATGACTTGCTGGTCAAAATGTAGCAGCTTTGGTTGCTTGATTTTGGTCCCAAACCAGTGAACCACGTCTTCCTACTTTGACTAATTTATATGAAAAGGACATCAAAGTGGAATATAATCAATCAACCTAATACCACCTAATCCATATGATCCCAAACCCATTTGAAGATTCGTAATCAAAAATTAGCTTTTTAGGGAAATTAATCTGAAATTGGGGAACTAATTATAATTAAAATTCAAGAATTAAAGATCAAGATCTTGGAGTTAAATCTTGAGATTTCAACACCCAATTGGAAAAGTTTGCAGTTTAATCTGATTAAGAACAAATACCTGGTTTGAAGAATACAGAAAGCCCGAAATCGATGGCTTTTAGAGCAGAATTTTCTTTCTTGTTTGCAAACAGAAAGTTTTCCGGCTTCAAGTCTCTATGAATTACTCCATTTTCATGGCACATCTTCACCACCTCCGCCACCGTCTTGGCGATTCCGGCCGCCGCTCTCTCACTGTAATGCCCTCTAGCAACGATTCTATCAAACAACTCTCCACCCTCACACAGTTCCATCACTAAATGAACAGCTTCATGATCCTCATATGTAGCACGAAGCTTCACTATATTCGGGTGGTCCGGCAACGTGGACATAATCGCCACCTCTCGCCGGACGTCCTCGACGTCAACGGCGGTTCGAAGTTTTTTCTTCGAAATTGACTTACATGCGAAAGCTTGTTTGGTTTCTCTGTCGGTACAGAGATACGTGACTCCAAACTCTCCCCGACCCAGCTCCCGACCCAGTATGTACTTGTCGGAAATACGGGTCCGGTGGTGGGCGAGTTGCGCAAAGTCGTTCAGCACCCGGATCGGTACCGGCGGTTCGGCGTATGGATTGGGTCTTCTTTGTTTGTTATTCTTTTTCTTGCCCTGTGGAGTCGGAGGTGGTTGGTAGTGGGTGGATTCTGGAGCATCAGGTCGTAGGCAGGTGGTGCAGTTACCCATGGTGGTAGTAGGTTTTAATCTGTGGTCGGGCGGTGGTGGTGGTTGGGAAATATAGTTATGATCGCCGGGAAATCAAGATTTGGGGAGGCGGGCATTTCACGGCAATGGAAGTATGAAACCAAAGGAAAACCGCGGGGTAAGTGATGAAGAGGACGTTTTCTTTTGGGAAAAAGTCAAATATATTGTTCTACCATGTTATTATTATTGTTATTAGAAATATTCTTTTAGAATTTTTTTATTCAGCATGTTTCTATATTAATTCATCCTAAAAGCATTTTTAAGCCGGGTCTTTGTATTTCTTAAAAAATATATATATATATATATATATATACACTGTATTATAAAACATTTGACAAAAATTATTAAAAATAAATTTTTATGTATGAAGTATTGTATATTGATGCATATTACTTAAAATTTAAGATTACAAGTAATTAAACATAAGTACAACTTATTAAAGCTCTATGTTTGAATTCGTGTAATTAACTGTGGATAATCATAATCAAATAAAAGATAAACATCTTATTTTTAAAATATAAAAAATATAAAATATAATTAGGATAATTATCGAGTTCTAACAAAATAATTAATTATTATCTTTA